CTCTTAGAAAATCAACACAACATGGAATTTGAACATGTATATAACAAATACACATTCAAAGGTCATATCAAAACCAAATATCTACATTTTTTTCTGCTTCTTCTTTTTTTTACATTATTTGAGCAGAGCAGCTGCTCTTCACATAGTGTGGATGTTTCATGATGACTGGACAAATAGAAATTAAGGTACACAATTGGACCTTAAAACCACTGTCGTACCTTTGAGAGAACATTTACATTGTTTGTACCTTGATGAACAAAAATGTACCTGCACAGTACCTTCATTTCTAACAGTGTAGTACTGCAATTGCACTCAACCAATTCTTCCTGGGAAAATGTGTGACACGCATCTTTTGGTCACAGGACAAATGTGGCATTGAGGGAACAAAGGAGGCGATGCATAATAGACGATGTGTCGTTTACAGAGCTAAGCAAACATGCTGGATCGCAGGGAAACAAAAGAGCCAACTGTCAGTAATGAAAGCAAGGCTGGCAGGCCTGTTTACCCTCAGCCATAAGGGAAGCAATGGGACAATATTGCAGTCTGCTGATCTGATCCTGTGTTTGTATAAGAGCTGAGACAGAGCCAAGATCAAGCTAACATCTCCCTACAGTCCTGTCTGCCTCTCCGAGTGAAGGAGGAACAGGTATACTAGCTGTGCTAGATGGGTAACTCAGCATTCAAACTGGCTAAAGTCACTGAAAACACTGAAAAAGAAGAGAAGAGCTGATGAGTTGTACTTCATATTTGGGCCCAATCCCATTTCTTATTTTTACCCCTACCCTTTGTTTTTGAGTGTCACCTTGCCCATTGGAGCTGAGCTACAAGGGGTAGTGGTTGAAATCTTCCCTACAAAAAGGACAACCCTCAAATAAAAAAAGAACATTACTTCATTAACAGGTTACTAGCGGTGCTCTGTAGGTGACCCTGTCCGTCCGCACTGATAGCAGAGGAGGGTAAAGTTCAGCAACCTCACTGCTGGGCTTTTTAGGTATCATATGCTTTCAAAGAGGGGGGATGGACAATTATTTATTATCGCCGACCCTTAATTCTTCAGTGATATGAAGCTGAAGTCAGCTATTCACCAGATTCTTGTTCGAGTTTTCCCATTTTACCTTAAATATAAAAATACCATTGTATTATCTTAGTTTCATGTACTTTCAGTGTATTATATCATAACAAGCATAAAATGTTGCTCGTAGTATGCTGATGTCTTGGTAGCTAGCTAGCTAAATTTCCCATTCCACCTTAAATGGTGCAGTAGTTACATTCTGGAGCATCAGGTATCAAAACTGCTGCACCATTTAAGGTGGAATGGGAAATTTAGCTAGCTAGCGACCGAGACATCATCATGCTACTAGCAACATTTTATGCTTGTTATGATATAATACACTGAAAGTACATTAAACTAAGATAATACAATGGTTATCATAATTTTTAACAGAGAACATTTGAGTATTTCTTTGGTCGCTTGTGCTGCCATCTTGCATTTTTTTCTCATAACACTCTGTTTTGAGTGTGTCTCTGAAAACCTCCATTTGGAGGGCCATGTAGCCTCAACAAAAATCAGGACACCCTAACACTATGCATGAACGTGCAAAATGGAGGGGTAAGGGCTAAAAGGTAGGGGAGAGGGCAAAAACGGGATTGGGCCTTGGATGTTGGACTTGGATAGGGAGTGTAATACTGTATCATAAACAACCGTATCCAAACCTAGTCCTGAGGAGGAGCTTGAGTGTTGTCTTCCTCACTCTAATGCACTTGATTCACAAGTTAATTGATCTATCCATGCTCCGCCCACAGATGTAGTCTTACAAGCAACTCTTGCTAGGTTTGACATTTAGAGTGTTATCAATAGCGCTGTATTATTTGCAGGAAGACAAATGAGGAGTAGGTATAATGTCTACAGTGCTGCTATATAAGGAAGAGCAGGAAAGTCACACAGGGGCAATCCCAGCATTCCCTTACTTCCTCCACAGTCACAGGGCTTATGAGATGGGTGTGAGGGCAAACAGTGCAGGGTATTTGCTGAGGAGGAGAGCATGGGGATCTGGGCTTAACCTACACTGATCTTATTCCCAGCAAGCCAAGAAATCCAGCCAAGGAAGGACACGCAGCCTGACAAGATTACTTAACACAGAATCAATTAATCAGACTGAGCGATGGTGTAAAGCTGCACTGCAAGTTTTTTTTGCAACATCTTTCACTGCTCACCTTCATTCAGTTCCAAATGAACTGCTAAGCAGGTTTAGAGGAAAACTATATCATGTGTGTAAACATTAGAGACAGTTTAAGGGCCAGTGCTTGCTTGGGAATGAATCCATTCTGCTGCGTTCTGTACAAATTGAGGATGGACTGTTTTCCCCAGTAAGAGGATCATTACAGTGATCAACTCTGCTGTAACAAACGCATCGACAAGTTTCTCTGCGTCACTCTGAGATAGAAAAGGCTGAACTTTAGTGATATTCTCAAATTATAAAAAACTATGTTAGATGTGGCCTAAACACCTTTAGGCCAAAAGAGTTTCAATATCTGCATAAAGGCAAATTTTGACATAAAATATATGTTATTTAATTTGTTATTTATCATGTTTTATGACAACTTTATATTGTTTTCGTATTTTCACTCATCAGTGTTGTTTCAATTCTAGCATGCATTAGCATGCATTATAAAAACAGCCACTGGGAAGCCCTGTGGTGTCAACCACATCTGACTGTGAGTTGTAGGCTAATAAAGTTCACCAAGATAGCTATTAGATAATAATAATAATAATAATAATAATAATAATAATAATAATAATGGTAACTTCATTAGTACCAGTAGCAGCTCAAAGTGCTTTACAAAAGGGCGATAAAGCTAAACAGTAAAAGAAGATATTGTAGTTATTGTTTGGTATTTCCAACATAAGGCAAGCAAGCAAGCAAGCAAAGTTTATTTATATAGTGCTTTTTACAACAGGTGTTGTCACAAAGCAGCTTTACAGAAAAATCAGCATTATAGAAAGAAAAATCCGGGTCCAAACCCCCATGAGCAAGCCAGTGGCAACAGTGGCAAGGAAAAACTCCCTAAGAGCAGGAGGAAGAAACCTTGAGAGGAACCAAGACTCAGAAGGGGAACCCATCCTCCTCTGGTCGACACTGGATAGCAAACATTGTTAGTATAAAGTATTATAGTACAAAACGGGGAAAACAGGTGGAGCAAATGTTTAACTTGATTAGTTTTAGTTTATGCAGCAGCAGCAGCAACAAGGAAAAAATAAATAAAATTAAATAAATAAAAGATGAGTATTAAAATAATATGAAGTGATGACAGAAATCAAATGAACAAGATAAATACAAAGAAGAGAGGTATAACTTTAATTAAAAGCTAAATTAAAGAGATACAGTTACAAATGTCTCTTAAAGTGAGCACTGAGCTTGACTGTCTAGTTCCATAGTTAAGAGGCACAATAACAAAGAGTCTCTCCACTTTTTCTGTATTTTTTGCAGAACATCAGTATCTGCAGATCTAAGATCACATGTTGGAACACAAACAGACAGACATTCAGGTGCTTTAAGGTCATTTAAAGCTTTAAAAACTAATAATAAATATGTAGGCAGCCAGTGAACACAACAGAGCTGTTGATGTTGAATCCATTCTGCTGCGTTCTGGACAAATTGAGGATGGACTGTTTTCCCCAGTAAGAGGATCATTACAGTGATCAACTCTGCTGTAACAAACACATCAACAAGTTTCTCTGCGTCACTCTGAGATAGAAAAGGCTGAACTTTAGTGATATTCTCAAATTATAAAACGTGGGATAAAACAGAGTTCAGAATCTAAGATTACACCCAGGTTTTGTACTTCAGGTTTGCTAACTCACCCTTCCATAATACACAATTCAATTCAAGAGTGCAGAGAAAAGAAGCCAAACTGAGGTAAAGTATCCAGGTAGCTACCTTGCTAACCTTAGCTTTCAGCTTGTCCTCATCCTCTGAGTCATTTCTGTTGCTTGAGAAATCCATTCTCTGCATTTTATTGATGACTAAAGAGAGTTTTATGGCTGAAATACGATTCAGCTTCCTGGCAGTAACGTCAGCTATCTGCCTTCCCTTCTACAACACCTTGCCCTGAAAAATCCATGCATACACTGCAAAGAATGGTATCTTCTCAAGTGAAGTGATCTTAAATCTAGTCAATATATCTAATATTTCCTATTTTTATATGGTTGTGCACTTATTATAAGGTTATCTAGCTTATTTCTAGACACTTTTAAGTAATTTTATTAAGTAAAATGATCTCACTGTACTGGCAGACAACCAGCAAAATTATCTGCCAATACAGTAAGATAATTTTACTTAATAAAATTATCTAAAAAAAATAAAAATAAAAAAGGTTCCTTCCACCTTCAAGACTCATCAGAAAAAGGGTTTCGTAGTCATTAAATTGGAAAATCTCACTCTATGGTGTACTGTGGCACCACTGTAGGACGCGAGTAGATATGTTTACAAGAGATGGCATTTCCAGTATGATTCTGTATCGATCATGACTGATTATTAATATATGCATTTTGTACTGCTGAGTTCTTGGTCTGAGCAGTACGAATCCTGAACCCTGAATGAAACAAAAGGCTATTTCTAGTATAACATATACAATTCCATAACTTGACAAAAGCTTCTTCAAGTTTAAAACTACGCTTATCAATGTTATTGCTGAAAAATTGCATCACAATACAAATCAAGATGCGTAGCACAAAATGCACTTATCATAAACACACAATACATCTCATCATTTCCTCATACAGTGTGTTCTTTATGATGTGTGTAAAAGCGTCAAGATCAGCACTAATTCTTTAACCAACAACCTTAGCCTGAAAGAGCTACATGGCTCAGGAAAATGAAACCAAATAGCTTTCCACTGGATTTACACACAAGAATCCGGCCCTGTCTTAGGTTACATTATATATAAACAGGCAAGGATGTAAACTGGAGACTGAACAACAAAGAACAATATGCACTTACCTGAAGGCCCCTGGAGTTTGGCTTTCTTTACTGAAAAGAGAGAGAGAGAGAGAGAGAGAGAGAGAGAGAGAGAGAGAGAGAGAGAGAAACAATGGTTAGCATGTGAAAAAAGCATGCAAAACACTCTATATACGTACAACCAGTCGGCACCATCCAGATCTGACACAGGATTCTCTCACGACCAAAACCTACTGTTCAACCATTTGGGGATTTTTCAGTATTGCAATTCAAATGTGATGAAATGTGATGTCATCTCATCCATTTTTTCTCTACATCATTAGGTCAAATTTCCTAAATTAATAAATTTTTCTCACAACTCCCAGACCAGTTTGCTCTACCATCAAGTGACTCATTTAGATATTTACAAACTGGACATTACATTACAAGAAACACAAACTGTGATATTATTAAAAGAGAACCAACCAATATAGAAACCCATTTTATACATTTGTTTGAACACTGTGCTTTAACAAAAAAACAAATATCTTGTATCTACAAGAAACTAATGATTGACTTTCAAGACAACACTTTACATATCATTGGACAATGGGAACTGGAGCTGAATACAGTAGCGGGAGGACAAGTCTGGGAAACTGTATGTTCTAGATGTTACAGGGGCCAGCTATGGAAAGAATTTGATTGGAGGGTTAAAATGCGATATATTCGCAGCGACTGAGCCTCATTCACTACCAACTGCTGCAGATTTCTCGCTCTCTGGCCTTAAATATTAAGATATCTAAACAGTACGGTCATCGGTAGAGTTTTAAACAAGTTTTATTTTAATTGGTAGAGCACTTTCACATTATGTGGAGGTTCTTCAAAAATCATCCATTGAAAGGTTCTTCATAGTGCCAAAAGTGTCTCTTGTATGGTGTCACTATCACTTCTAAGGAAGTCATTTTCCAGAACTTGTACGCATGACAACTGTTGCTCACGACATGTAATCTCAAAGTGATGCACATCTGTCGTCATCCTTAATATTAAAGTCAATAATTAAACATCTGATGACCACTTAGTGAATCATCAAACCATAAACCCCTCCTCTGTGAATCATTTCATTCATTTACTTTTACTGGATGATTAGAAGTGAACATTACACACTGCAGAATGTCCACGTGTCCACATGAGTCCACTGCAGCATTAAAAACTACAATAAGTATACGATATGTCCAAAAGTTTGTACGCGCCTACATTCAACGTCCCATCCAACAGGTAATGACAGTGGCTAAAGGGCCCTATGATGGTGTCATGGTGACACATAGGGGCTCATGTATGGCTGCTCTGAAGTGACCCTTTCTTTTGGTCAATGCTTTTCTTTGGAGATTATATTGTCAGCAATGAGTGCAACGTACAGTACTGAATTCACTCATTAGAAGGGCTGTATGGATTTACTGTATGGAAAGACATTCAAACTGAGCATTAGCAGCTAAAAATATGCAAAGAATATGCTAAAATATGTCATCTCAGTGTCCCAAATACACACTTTTCCAGACCTCAGTAAAATTTTTGGACATTTTATGAATTTTCTTCCTTTCTAAGTGTTTTTTGATGACTGCATTGTGCAATCACCAAATGTTTACTAAGTGCAATGAGAAGCACAGTGCCAGTATTTCTGTGGGTAGTTTTAAATATAATTGAAAACTCAATGTTCTCACTTTTTTTTAAATTAAAGAGTTTGATGTATGTAAACACTGTTAAATTTTCCAAACGTACAATTGGTAGAGGTTTTATTGGGTTTTACTTTTAATTGGTAGAACACCTTCACATGATGTGGAGGTTCTTTAAAAAATATCCACTGAAGGTTGAAAGGTTCCACATAGTACCATTCATTCCCCAGTCCAGCCTGAAGTTATAAGGAGTGTTTCAGCATGGTGTTTCAGGGCTTTTTGAATCAAACCAGAGCTCATTTACATCAGTCTTAAAGGCATAGTAACAAAAACAACCTGTTTAATTCTAAGTTTTAAAAGAGAGAGTGGAAAATGGTCATGTACGTATGAATTATGACTGTTTTTGGTACACAAATGCACATAAATGTTATAAGTGCATCTCAAAGGGAAAAATAAAATGCAAGAATAAAATTGAGGGAAATTATTTAATTAAGATAAGTGTCAATTACTTTGGTGCAATGTAATGCAGGCTTATTTGTAACCATATCAAGGACCTACTAAAGTATTTTGAACATATGGTAAGTTACTACAAATGCAACATGTAGCAATATAATCACAATATGAAATTTCACTAGTATCATGCATCCCTAACGTCTACAACATGTTGTCAAAATTGCATTTACAAAATTGTTGCTGCTTTGTTGAACACATGGTCGTTAGCATCACCGTTTCACACCACTTTTCTCCTTCACCACACTGTCGTACACAACATTACATCTCCTTGGTCACCTGACAGCTGTAATCTGGGCCACAACGACCGGCTTTAGTACTCAATCCACTTCCATTGTGGGAACGATGCTAGCGTTTGTGTTCATATTGTGGCACATAATCGCCTGCTCTGCTCTGGCACAAAACCACACAGGACAACCTAAAATGGACCCCACGTTCAGAGATGTTTTCCTCTGGCTTTTCTGTCCAAACAGAATGCCCTAGATGCAAAATAACATCTACCATTTCTATTGCTTACTCATGCTTGCCAGGATAAAATACATTTCTCACAGTTTTAAAAATGTTTTTGCGCACTAAAGTCCACACGTGATTTTTTAGCTCACTCCTACATCCACACAATAACTATTACAGGATTGAGTGCTGCTTTAAAGGAGATTACTCGCTGCTGGATGGATCTGGCAGATGGATGCTGGGATTGAACGGCGGGCTTCGAGGCATCACTGGATTATTATAACGTCCACTGCACTAAACCTTTCCCTGCATATCTGAGGAAACAGGAGGCCCTGTTACATGCAGGCCTGTTTGTTTACTATAGTCTTTTGTGCTGATGATGATCAGGTTAAGTGGTTAAAGTGCTAAAACCTGCACGTGGACGCAAGCTGTGAGATCCACGAGAAGAAAAGTAAGGCCAAAGATAGCACGCTCTAGAGACTGTGCATGGATTTGTGCTGTCCTGCAATACTTCTGAATACACTGTTTAGGCATGCTTGATTTACAGTGCGCTGCTCAGGTGCTGTCAAGTCTGAAACCCTGTTTGGGACTTTAGCATATTTTAAAGTTGAAAATAGGGCAGTAATTGTGCAATAGTAGTAGGCTAGCACAACACTGCCATAATCATATATCTTTTTTTCTTTGTTTTTTTGTTCCTTTGTTTGTTTGTTTGTATGCCCTTTTTTAACATTTTTGGAACATTATAAATGGTTTTTTTTGCCCCAAAAAAGCATGATAGCCTAAAAACAGCAAGTTAGCTGGTTATAATTCTCTACTACCGGTACAGCAGTAGCTGCAGTAGGAAACCCTCATGACCTTCTAGGCCTTCAGAGATTTGTGGAGGCCTAGCGATTTAAGGGAACTTAAAAATACATGTCTGTAATATTTAGTCTTCATTACTATCAAAACCTTCTGTGTGGAGTCACAGTCCAAAGACATGCAGTCAGGCCAACTGGATATGCTAAATTGCCCCAAGGTGTGAGTGTGTGTGTGACTGTATATATCTGTTTGTCTGCCCTGTGATGGACTGGCAACCTGTCCATGGTGTATCCTGCTTTCCACCCAATGACTTCTGGGATAGGCTCCAGCTACCCCCTGACCCAGAAGGATAAGCGGCTTAGAAGATGTGTGTGCGTGTGTGTGTGTGTGTGTGTGTGTGTGTGTGTGTGTGTGTGTACCATCAAAACCATCAAGTCTTTTATATATTTAACATTTCACATTTTGCACTGCACTAATCCAATAAAATAGGACTAATTATGCTCTCATTGCCATTATCTTAGCGCTAACAAACTATTAGACTCCCATAGGGCCACTAGCAAAAGTTAGCATTATTGTAGAGGTGGGTTTGTATTTAAACTCCACACATATTTCAGTACTGCAGTTTTATTGTTTCATTCATTGTTTCAGATTCTTGGAAAGCTCAGCAGAAAGTTGGCCAATCAAAACTGTCTTTCTCTGTGGTATTAGATAGATACAGCTAAGTGAGCTCTCCTATTGGTTAGGACCTTAAGAGCTGAGGAAAAGACCTAACACTTTAGATTAACTATAGAGATTAGATTACCAAAGAAAAAGAGGAATCAACCAGTCATGTTTTGATTTCCAGTGGGACCAATTTTGTGAGAAATAAACGTTCTAGTGATGTCATTGACTGTGAATATGCGGGTTGTTAGAAATGGAAAACAGTGTCGGCAGCTCCAAACCAAAACTCTCTACTGAAAGAGTCACAGGCTGTGTTTACATGCAAAGATTTTTGCCAATCTGATTGAATACATTCAGATTATAGACTAAGACTGAGGTGTTTATTTCTCACTCTACTCAACAATCTGACAAAAATCTCTGTTGACATGCACACTACAAGTAATCAGTTCCAAAATGATGCATATGCGTAGAGTGCCACTTAGTGTAGACGTTACCATGACAACGAGTATCACATGTATCCAGTCAGAGTGAGATGAGTAGCAGTGAGCAGTGGTTGTGTTTTTTATTACTTTAAAATAATGTCAGACTCAGGAAAATGTACTTCACATGTCCTTATTAAAGAAGGGCGAGAGGAAGATGTCGCGCTCTGAGACACATAAGCTGGACACCCGTCCCACCGCCGTCTTTTAAAGATCAAAGCATAAACTTTGTCTCCTCTGCAGTCCAGTTTCTGCTCCCGCCACGTTGAACATTATAAACTTTTGCTATGATGTGACACACATGCGCAGAACATACTGAAACTTTCCGATTGCGAATGTTATAAGATACAGGCGTTTACATTATTATCCTTCTGTTTAACGGATTATTTACAGGGTTACCCACCTCCTTAAATCAGATAGAAACCGTAGTCCGAATGGGCTCAAACTCAGACTGGTCTATTCCGATTGAGGTGTTTACATGTACGTATTCTATTAGTCGGATTATTAACAGACTATCAGGCTGCAC